TCAGTGTGTTTCACTCAACTCTAGTTGCAACTTGAGGGAAGAAAACACATGTCAACTCTCCTAACAAATCACTGAGAAGAAATCACTGAGTAGAAATCGGCCAGCAGGCAGATGTCCTGGGGTTCATAGGATGAAGAGGCAACTGGAGAATCTTCTGGGCATTGGTGAGCAGGTGGAGTAAGGTGGGGAGAGAGTTCTGGGGTGTTTGATTCTTCCTCAAAAGGTTGGATGTTGTCATTCAGCCATTCCTGGTAAGAGACGCTGGAAACAGCTAAGGAAAGAATCCCCCTCTAATTCTGACATAGGAGCTTCTCAGGGTGGGGCACCCAATTATCTGGTGAAGGCAGGCGTCTTCAAAGTGGAGGCAAAACAAGTTTTGCTCAGTTAAACACCATTAACATAACTCTGCAAGTGTCCCAGTGGGTTCACAGGAGCAGCCCTGAAATGGTTCAGTTACACTTTTGAAGGGAAAAGAAGATTCTGAGAAGTGACCAATGTTAGGTGTGAACAACAAGCACCACACAGGCCCCCGAAAAAGCTGGAAGCACAGAGGCCAAGTCAGCCAAGATCACCGGAGGCCAGAGTAGAGCTGCTCACAGGTCATCCACACACATGCATCCCTGGACCTGGAAAGAGCTCACTCAGCTCAGACAAGCCCACTGGATTCCCAGGCTGCCTGCTGAGTGAGTGAGTCTCCACCAAGCCCAAGTAGCTCATAAACAAGTCATAATGAGCGCAAAGCATCAGCCCCAGGGGCACCTGGGGACTCCCGCCCAGCTCCCGCCACAAGCGTCAGGCTCACAGGCCTGGGCACAGGTCTCTGCTCTTCAGCTGCGTGTCACCAGCCTCTGTGGTCATTCAGTTTGGATCATCACCTCCACCTCCCACAGTCTGGAGCCTCAGGTGCCAGGCCGTGCAACTCACTTTGCAAGAATAATAATAAAAGTAGCTGTTGTGTAAAATTTTCACAAATTTTGGGCCAAGTATTTTATACGCTTTATTTGAGTCTGCAAAAATCAAAACCAAAACGTATCATTGCCCGTTTTACAAGCAAGTAATCGGAGGTTGTGATGATTAATTTTATGTATCAACCTGGCTAGGATATGGCGACCAGATGCTTGGTCAAGCACCAGTCTAGATATTGTTGTAAAGGTATTTTCTGGATGTGAATAACAGTAAAATCAGTAGGCTTTCAGGAAAGCAGATTACCCACCATAACATGGGGGGGCTTATCCGTTCAGTTGAAGGTCTTAAGAGAAAAGACAGATCCTGTGGAGGAAGAAGGAATTGGGCCTCCACACTGCCTACGAACTCGAGACCCCCAACATCAGCTGTTCCCTGGGTCTCCAGCCTGCCCGCCTGCCCTGTGCATTTCAGACCTGCCAGCCCCAAAATCCCATGAGTCACTTCGACATAAATCTCTCCCTCTCTCTATATATACATCTTATTGGTTCTCTCTTTATATATAGTCTCTATTGGTGATTACTGCAGAGGTCCAGGAAAGGTAACCACCTCCCAGGGTCATACACTAAGGAAGAGGCAGTGCTGGCCAGCTCCAAAGTTATGCTCTTAACCAAACACACAACAACCCTTTCAGCACGGACTCTGAGAGGCTCCAGTCAGCTGATGCCCCAGATCCAAGTGTCTGAGGGTCCCTAACTCTACAGAGCATCTCGTGGGAAGGACAGCCAAGGGATGGGCACACACCTCTCTTTGGGAGGCTGCACCAAAGGAGCTGCTCCTCAGTGGCTCCTGTGTCACAGGGACCATGCTGGGTTATCACCCCTCGGGGGAGATTTTATTAGTCTGACTTGGGTTTCTAACTAATCTCCACGTGGTGCCCTCCATATGAGGGGCTGTGTGAACCAAGGACACAGCATTTCATAGGCCGCAGCACCACCTACTGCTGGTTTATATGAACAAAGAGAGTGACTGAATCATGCTGATCTGAGGCCGCTCCAGCATTAGCCCCATTTTACGGATTGGCAAACAGAGGTTCTTTAAGAACCAGCTCAAGTCCTGCCTCATCCACAAAGCTTTACACAACTACCATTTCTCCTCCAGACTGTTCAAGAGTTGGCACCCAGGGCATTCCAGATACAAGGGGAGTTCCTGGAAAGCTCTTTAGAAGGACAGACATGTCTCTCAGCCTTGCTGATTCCAGTTCATGTGGAGGATAGGGGTTAGATTCCCCAAGTGATTCTAATACACCACCACTGTCTCTACCACATGTCTTAGCACTGACTTGAATAGTTCACTACTTCATAAAGACTTAGATGTGAGGCCTGGTTTTTATTATCTGCAACTTGAGAACCTGCTTCTCTAGGCCTCACTTTCCTCACAGGTCAAGCAGGGATACTCTGCTCTAATTCACAAAGTTTTGGTGAAGTTTCAACAAGGCAAGGCAGTTAGGGCACAGGAGCCACTTATAAAATTACTCTGTCTTACAGGGACTCTGTGAAATAGCATCCTGCACCCTGCACAGCACTGAATCCATACAGGTGTTTTACTGCAAAACTGCACTGTGATTTGTGGGTGGAGGTTGGTGTGGTGAGCACACTGGCTGCTTCTCTCAGACAATGAGCTTCTCTTCCCACAGGTGTGAACAGGAATGGGCACAGCCCTGGTTTCCACACAGATATGGGCTCACAGGTACATGGGGGATACGACCCATGCCAGGTGCTTAACATGGAGTCCATGTAAGGCTGGATGTGGAGTCCGTGTAAGGCTGTATGTCAAGTCCAGTGACAGCGACAGTAACTTCAGGGAGAGGAATGGGGTTTCTCCCCCAGCCATGCCGCCACTGCATGGAAAGTAACATTTGTAAGTGTTTGTGTCTTCATTATGTCAGTTCTGAAATTCTCTTTTACACTTCGGTAACAGGACAATGTTTTTTTTGGTTTTGGGTTTTTTTTAAGATGTTGGGGATAGGAGTTTATTAATTAATTTTTGCTGTGTTGGGTCTTCGTTTCTGTGCGAGGGCTTTCTCCAGTTGTGGCAAGCAGGGGCCACTCTTCGTCACGGTGCGCGGGCCTCTCACTGTCGCGGCCTCTCTTATTGTGGAGCACAGGCTCCAGACGCGCAGGCTCAGCTGTTGTGGCTCACGGGCCCAGTTGCTCCGCGGCATGTGGGATCCTCCCAAACCAGGGCTCGAACCCGTGTCCCCTGCATTGGCAGGCAGACTCTTAACCACTGCGCCACCAGGGAAGACCAGGACAATGGGTTTTTGTGCAATGTTTATCCCATCGTCTAACACAATGCCCGGCCACAAGAGGCCATCCATTAAACAAAATTGGCTTGTGTGGTGAGATGGGCTTGAATCCAAAGAATGGGAATTGGTGAGTGTGGCCCCAATGGAGCATAACCTGTGCCCATTCGATTATTATCCATTCAAAGACGTATTTACTGGACAATATGCCAAACACAGTTCCAAGTGCTGAGAACATAGTCGTGCATGAGATTTAGGTTCTGTTGTGAGAGGGCAAAGCTTGCAACTAGTGGGAAAGGCAGTCAACACTGATCTAATTTAGTGACAAGTTCTATAAAGGAAGGAAAACAGGGTGATGTGATAGTAAGCGGGGTGATGGAGTGGATGGGGAGCTTCTGAGAGGATGGAGTGAGTGATTCCTCTTCCTCTGGTTCAGACTAGCAGGGAAGGTGCAAAGAGTAAGATCCAGCCCAGAGCTCAGGTCTTCTTATCCTGCCTCCGAGGTCGGGCCAGGTCAGCAGACTGGATTTCAGATCTGCACTTTGGTAACAGGACAACCGTTTAATGTGCAATGTTTATCCTTAGTGATGGTAAATACACATGCCTGGTAACTACAGATATAGAACATTTCTCAAGCAGACATGGCAAGAGTAGTGAAACGTCTGTTCATTAATTTACAAACCTAGTGACATGAAAAGAAAATCTTCATTGAAATCTGGCTTAATAGAAGCTGTGCACAATGTTAATACCACATTTGCAGAGGGCAGAAATGCTCGGTCACCCTGTGTGCCTGTCACCACCAGGGCTCGTGAGAAAGTTCCCATTTACTGAAGTGCCTCAGGGAATTCCCTGGCGGTCCAGAGGTTAGGACTCCGGCTTCAACTGCCGAGGGCCTGGGTTCAATCCCTGGTGGGGAACTAAGATCCAGCAAAACACGAGGCACGGCCAAAAACAAAAAAAATTATAATAATAATAAAGTGCCTCAAACGCCCTCAGGACCACATGCTGATGCAACACAGGGACAGAAAAGGCTGAGCTGAGCTGGACATTTACAAATGCAAAGAATGAATTGTAGCCTTTACAATAATTATAGTGGCGTTTATCATACATCCCAAGATGTATGATAAACATCTTGGTCCAGACAAGCAGAGAAGGCGCAAAGAGTAAGATCCGGCCCAGAGCTCAGGTCTTCTTATCTTGCCTCCGAGGTCTGGCCGGGCCAGCAGACAGGATTTCCCATCTGCTCTGCTAGCGATTCGCCCAAGAAGACCCGGGCGACTTCCAAAAAACAAAGCGGCTGTCAGTCCAAGAATCTTCTTTACGCCCTGGACTAGAGTGTCTTTGGGCAGCGGACGACGTGGGACAAGACCTGGGGAACTCGCCTCAAGGGAAGAAAGAACCCCCGCTCTCTCCCCACACTGCAGCGGGGTTGCCACCAACTCGGCCGTCAGAACTGCACCTGCAGAAATGGCAGGTTCCGAGGCTAGAGTCCTAAAGCGAGCCTCAAACACCAAGCCCGCAAATCGCCGCCATCTTGGCGGAGGCGGCCCCCATTTAGGGGCCGGGCCTCCGGAGACCCAAACAAGCCCCACGTGTCGGGGGCGGAGCCCTACCAACTAACGTCACGGTGCGCGTGCGCGAGTGAGGTCACGTGCCGGCGTACCCTTGCTAGGCACCGTAAAGCGCGGAAGGTCGCCGTATCAAGCTTCGCCGGAACTTTTTCCTCCTTCTTGTCCCGCCCCTTTCCCTATCCGTGTACCACCTTCCGGCCCCCGGGAACCCCGATAACGGTTGTGGCTGCTGCCCCGCTTCAGCCGGAGTGTTGCTGAGCGCGGAGCCCGAGGGCGCCCGTGAGGTAAGGAGAAGCTGCGGAGCCGCTCTGGCGTCCCCGTCCGCGCGGACCGTGGCGGCCCGGGACCCGCAGCGCCCCCCCTTTCCGCTGTGGTCTCGGTCAGGGGGCTTCCGGCGTCCCTCGTTTCCCGTCGGTTCTGCCTGGTCCTCGGAAGGCGCGTCCTGGCGCCGGGACTCCGCCCGCCGGGGCCGACAGCGCGTCGCCCGGTCTCCCTCAGCCTCTCTGCGGCGGTGGCGTCTCGCGGACCCGTGCCCGGCTGCCCGGGGCCAGCGCGCCGACTTTACCAGGCGCCCGCAGCCCATCCCGGATGCCCAGGGCGGCCGGGGTAACCTCGCTCCTGAGGCCCGCCTCGGACAGGCAGCCCCAACCCCCACCCCCCAGCGTGGGTCGGGCTTGTCCAGCTGGGTCGTCTCTGCAGGCGGAATTGTTTTCCCGCGTGGCAACGTGCGGTCCGCTTGTGCTTAACTAACCAGTAAAAGTGCTGTAGAGTCAGCGGTGAGGTTAGGTGGAAACGTCCAGGCCGAGGCGGTGAGCTCTCTTCCCAACGTTTGACCCTTTGGGCCTGATGTGTATGACACAGGCTCCAGACGCGCAGGCTCAGCTGTTGTGGCTCACGGGCCCAGTTGCTCCGCGGCATGTGGGATCCTCCCAAACCAGGGCTCGAACCCGTGTCCCCTGCATTGGCAGGCAGACTCTTAACCACTGCGCCACCAGGGAAGACCAGGACAATGGGTTTTTGTGCAATGTTTATCCCATCGTCTAACACAATGCCCGGCCACAAGAGGCCATCCATTAAACAAAATTGGCTTGTGTGGTGAGATGGGCTTGAATCCAAAGAATGGGAATTGGTGAGTGTGGCCCCAATGGAGCATAACCTGTGCCCATTCGATTATTATCCATTCAAAGACGTATTTACTGGACAATATGCCAAACACAGTTCCAAGTGCTGAGAACATAGTCGTGCATGAGATTTAGGTTCTGTTGTGAGAGGGCAAAGCTTGCAACTAGTGGGAAAGGCAGTCAACACTGATCTAATTTAGTGACAAGTTCTATAAAGGAAGGAAAACAGGGTGATGTGATAGTAAGCGGGGTGATGGAGTGGATGGGGAGCTTCTGAGAGGATGGAGTGAGTGATTCCTCTTCCTCTGGTTCAGACTAGCAGGGAAGGTGCAAAGAGTAAGATCCAGCCCAGAGCTCAGGTCTTCTTATCCTGCCTCCGAGGTCGGGCCAGGTCAGCAGACTGGATTTCAGATCTGCACTTTGGTAACAGGACAACCGTTTAATGTGCAATGTTTATCCTTAGTGATGGTAAATACACATGCCTGGTAACTACAGATATAGAACATTTCTCAAGCAGACATGGCAAGAGTAGTGAAACGTCTGTTCATTAATTTACAAACCTAGTGACATGAAAAGAAAATCTTCATTGAAATCTGGCTTAATAGAAGCTGTGCACAATGTTAATACCACATTTGCAGAGGGCAGAAATGCTCGGTCACCCTGTGTGCCTGTCACCACCAGGGCTCGTGAGAAAGTTCCCATTTACTGAAGTGCCTCAGGGAATTCCCTGGCGGTCCAGAGGTTAGGACTCCGGCTTCAACTGCCGAGGGCCTGGGTTCAATCCCTGGTGGGGAACTAAGATCCAGCAAAACACGAGGCACGGCCAAAAACAAAAAAAATTATAATAATAATAAAGTGCCTCAAACGCCCTCAGGACCACATGCTGATGCAACACAGGGACAGAAAAGGCTGAGCTGAGCTGGACATTTACAAATGCAAAGAATGAATTGTAGCCTTTACAATAATTATAGTGGCGTTTATCATACATCCCAAGATGTATGATAAACATCTTGGTCCAGACAAGCAGAGAAGGCGCAAAGAGTAAGATCCGGCCCAGAGCTCAGGTCTTCTTATCTTGCCTCCGAGGTCTGGCCGGGCCAGCAGACAGGATTTCCCATCTGCTCTGCTAGCGATTCGCCCAAGAAGACCCGGGCGACTTCCAAAAAACAAAGCGGCTGTCAGTCCAAGAATCTTCTTTACGCCCTGGACTAGAGTGTCTTTGGGCAGCGGACGACGTGGGACAAGACCTGGGGAACTCGCCTCAAGGGAAGAAAGAACCCCCGCTCTCTCCCCACACTGCAGCGGGGTTGCCACCAACTCGGCCGTCAGAACTGCACCTGCAGAAATGGCAGGTTCCGAGGCTAGAGTCCTAAAGCGAGCCTCAAACACCAAGCCCGCAAATCGCCGCCATCTTGGCGGAGGCGGCCCCCATTTAGGGGCCGGGCCTCCGGAGACCCAAACAAGCCCCACGTGTCGGGGGCGGAGCCCTACCAACTAACGTCACGGTGCGCGTGCGCGAGTGAGGTCACGTGCCGGCGTACCCTTGCTAGGCACCGTAAAGCGCGGAAGGTCGCCGTATCAAGCTTCGCCGGAACTTTTTCCTCCTTCTTGTCCCGCCCCTTTCCCTATCCGTGTACCACCTTCCGGCCCCCGGGAACCCCGATAACGGTTGTGGCTGCTGCCCCGCTTCAGCCGGAGTGTTGCTGAGCGCGGAGCCCGAGGGCGCCCGTGAGGTAAGGAGAAGCTGCGGAGCCGCTCTGGCGTCCCCGTCCGCGCGGACCGTGGCGGCCCGGGACCCGCAGCGCCCCCCCTTTCCGCTGTGGTCTCGGTCAGGGGGCTTCCGGCGTCCCTCGTTTCCCGTCGGTTCTGCCTGGTCCTCGGAAGGCGCGTCCTGGCGCCGGGACTCCGCCCGCCGGGGCCGACAGCGCGTCGCCCGGTCTCCCTCAGCCTCTCTGCGGCGGTGGCGTCTCGCGGACCCGTGCCCGGCTGCCCGGGGCCAGCGCGCCGACTTTGCCAGGCGCCCGCAGCCCATCCCGGATGCCCAGGGCGGCCGGGGTAACCTCGCTCCTGAGGCCCGCCTCGGACAGGCAGCCCCAACCCCCACCCCCCAGCGTGGGTCGGGCTTGTCCAGCTGGGTCGTCTCTGCAGGCGGAATTGTTTTCCCGCGTGGCAACGTGCGGTCCGCTTGTGCTTAACTAACCAGTAAAAGTGCTGTAGAGTCAGCGGTGAGGTTAGGTGGAAACGTCCAGGCCGAGGCGGTGAGCTCTCTTCCCAACGTTTGACCCTTTGGGCCTGATGTGTATGACACCGAGATTTGATTCTGGCATCTTCACGTCCGTTTCGCCCGTGCCTTGTAAGCATGTTGTCGGGGACTGCGGGGCGGCGAGGTAGCCGGGCTGAAGGGGACACGTTCCTAGGGCTAGAGATTTGTGTTAAGTTCTCAAACTTGGCTGATCACCTGGTGCACTTGTTGAAAAATATAGCACCCTGGACCGCAGGATCAGAATCTCCAGAGAGGGAGCCTGTTAGTGTGAGTGTGAGTGAATGTGTTTTAAAACACGTGTCCCAGGTGGCTCTCATTTGGAGGCAGGTGTGGGAAATGTTGTGTTAATCCGTCTCTTCTCACCCAGTCTCCCTTGTGACCAGCAGCCAATTTGTACAAGGTGTTGTGACCATGCAGAGGAACAGCTCAGAAGGAGTTGGAGCTGTCCTCTTGCTCTTGTTGGTGTACGCAGATCTGAGCATAACCAGCGTCAGTATTGAGATTTAGCAGGAATTCTTCTCCTTAGCAGAAATTAAACGCGTAATTTACTTTCAACCAGGTGTGTGTTTTACTTTGTTGTCTTTGACATCTTCCGTTTCTTCTCTACTGGCTTTATCTCCTTTGCTCTCAACTTTTATTTTGCTTTAGCTGCCAAGCCTACTGGAATAGACTGTGATGCCTTCTGTACCTGCATTGTTTGCATCCACTGTAAATCCTTCTTTTTTTGTCCTCACGACTTCACTGACTCTTGAAGGTCATGATGAGCACAAGGTCAAAAATCCTTTTCTTGGTTCTTATCACCCTGGCCTTTTAGTATTATTTCTTCCACCTTGAAACTCATCTGTTGTTATGTTTTTGGGGTTTTTTTATTATTTATTTTTGGCTGCGTTGGTTCTTCATTGTTGCGCGCGGGCGTTCTCTAGTTGTGGTGAGCGGGGGCTACTCTTCATTGCGGTGCGTGGGCTTCCGTAGTTGTGGCTCACAGGCCCTAGAGCACAGGCTCAGTAGTTGTGGCGCACAGGCTTAGTTGCTCTGCGGCATGTGGGATCTTCCTGGACCAGGGCTCGAACCTGTGTCCCCTGCATTGGCAGGCGGATTCTTAGCAGGCGGATTCTTAACCACTGCACCACCAGGGAAGTCCCTGTTGTTATGTTTTTAATGCTACCTTTGCAATTCCTTTTTTCTATTCGGGGAAGTGCCTTGTGGTTCTGGCCTCTCTCACAGCTACCCTTTTTTAATCATCTAATCCTAATTTACAGGTAGCGTGAAGTAATGATTCAATGGCAGACTCTAATGCTGAACTGGCAGGCTTTGAATTGAGGCTCTGCCACTCACCAGTATTGTAGGATCTTGGATCAGTCACTTCACGTCTCTGTGCCTCCTTTACCTCAAGTGTAGTATAAAAATTGTAACATCTTCTAGATTTGTGAGGGTTAAATTAGTTGTATACATAGAGCAGTGCCTGGCACATCATAACTACCTATAAGAATATAACCTTTTTTAAAAAATTATGTCAGGTTATTTAGAGATCTCCTCACATCTGGGGGCCTAGCCTTGAGATCTGAGTCATCACTGAATTTTTTCCCCATCTCCTTTGTTCTCTGTTCTCATTTAATTGTCAGGTTGTATTTTCAAGGTGCCTGCTGTGACAACCCTGATCAAGTTATAAGTGGTCGCTGCTCTCAGAGAGCTCCATTATCCCAGGGGGGCTAAAGGCTACCACTTTCCAAGTGCTTCTGAAGCGCCACTTGCCATGTTCTTCCTGCATTTGTGCTTTAGTCTTGCAGCAGCCATGTGAGGTAGGTATTCCTAGCCCATGTAACAGACGAGCAGCCTGAACCACAAAGATTGAACAACTTGCTCAAAGTCATACAGCTAATGAGTGGTGGGGGAGATTATC